GAAGTCAGTGTTGTAATGGTGAATCGGGATTTTTAATGAAGTGGGTTTGATTACTCTTGACTGTTTTGTGAAATCGAATTACGTCTGTGATGAAGAATTAAAAGCATGTCTATAGGATTGAGTATGCGGAGTGAATGAAATTTATTGGGTTAATCTAACGAGACAGTCAGTGGATACAAGATCGTGAGTATAAAGCGGTACCGAAGATTAGTAGTTTGGGTTGTTCGGGGTTCTCTGTAACGTCTAGAGATCTACCGGCTGGGACAAAAAGGACTTCAACAAGCAATCAAAGGGCATACATATAGATTTACGGTGTATTCTTGTAGTTGTTTATATTCCAACAGTCAAAAACTGATAGACTGCTTGAATATTGGTGAATCTCCATACTACCTTCTACAACCAGATGCCCGACGCATTCTCGAGCAGGAAAGCACGTAATACGATAACGTTTGATAATTAATTCCTAACACTCAAAGCTATTATTACTCTCCGGCAGCGGCGCCAAAATGTGATTGCTCATTTTACTTATTCTGGAAGAAACCTCCCTGAATAATTCCATATAGGGGGATTTGAATATGAGAAATGACTAGTTGCTTAAGCGTTCATATTAAGATCACACAATCAATTACCACTTGAATGTATTGTCTCTATTTCTAATATCTAAACATACAAAGAAACTATAATGTCCTCCTTCACCTTATCGGTCTCTTCCTTACAGCAATTCAGTCACTTGAAGTCTTTCCACTAGTTGAAACAAGTGCGGCATAAATGACACAAGGTGATCCTTTTTTTAGAGCATGCAAGAAAGCTCTTGCACCTACATATATGAGTTTAATTATATTAGACTTATGACTTTCTACTTGATTAACTATGCTCTTAGTTATACTTTTAGAAAAGTCAAGACTAGAAGAAGTCCAATCTATTTTAGGATTACATTTTTCTAGCCATGATAAACCTAAAATGATTGGATTAGAAGGAGATTTAATGATATTAAATATTACAAAGCTACTATGACCATTAGTTGCAACTTCTATAGAAAGGTTTCATGAGTATCATCTCCTAAAGATAATGGACGACCATCTAAGACTTCTACATGAAAAGGTTTAGTTTTCTTCACTAAAAGTGTGTTATATCTTTTAGCAAATTCTTCATCTAAGAAACATACTGAGGCTCCTGAATCTAGCAAGGCAGAGGCTTTGTGATGTTTAGGTCCTAAAATAACATCTATCGCAAAACAAAGAGAGGATTTTGAAGAGAGAATATGACCTTCACTAGGTATTGTACAAGGTTCCAACCTCACGGCCCCTATTGTAACAAGACAAATTCATTTTCCAACATAATATCGTTTTGATAGCCGTACTCCTCATTTTATGGTTGTATCGCTTCTTTAGGCAATGTTGAGTAGTGTACTTAGGTTCTCTATAATATAAGCACAATCCTTCCTAACAATGACGAGCCTTTTCTTGCTCAATAAGAGGTTTAAAAAGTATTCCATTAATTTATATATCTTCTATTTTTGAATGTATGTGTTAAAGAGATGTTAGTGTTGCCATTGAATTATAGTAACGTTGAGGTCCACTTATACAATTCTCAAATCAAAATTCAAAAAGATGATTGTCGCACTTTACAACAAAATCAATAGCTTAATTCAATGTTTGAGGATCAAGTAAGTTAAGCATTAATTTTGCTATATTATATTCTAATCCATACAAAAATTGGCTAATAAGTACCGCATCATCCCACTTGATATCAATTGCAAGTTGTCAAAACTATGAAGCATACAACATTACCGATCGATTGCCATGTCGTAAAATATGAATCTTGTTGGTTGTAACATGAATTACATCATGGTCTCTATACATGAATTGAAACTCCCCTAAAAAGTATCTAGATTATTCAATATTCGATCTTCTCATTTAAAAAAAGTTAAAAATCATGATAATGATAAACTTGAAAGAAGCGTACCAATGAATCTAACTTATGATCTTGGAATTAGATAGCTTTGGGATTGAAGTTCAATCTCAAGTTATACTTGATTGATAAATCCTCTAAACTTTGATTTAGTGTCCTCAAACTTCTCGAATAGGGTAATACTTGATTCTCTAACACTGGAAGGATATTCCATTATAGGAGAAGGAACATGATTTGGTGTAGATGTTGAAGCAGCTCCAATCATTTCTATATCTTCATTTCCTGCCAATCTTGTTGCTCCTTGTAGTAGTGAATTGAGTTGATACATTGCAAGTATTAACTCTCTCAATTGCTCTTGCATTTGTGCCATTGCACTCTTCATTTGAGTAAGTTCTGCCATGATAATATTTAGAAAAGAGAAGATGTCTAATATCGCTCAAGACAAATAGAAGAGAGGACTTGAGAACAAAGAAAATACTAAGAACAATATCAGTTTAGAAGAGGATAATCCGTAACTTTTAATATGCTTATGTCTTATCAAGAGAAAGGAATAATCTACTCTTAATCAAGATTAGACAAAGCTTTGATATTATAAATATACTCTTATCAATCTGTTAAGAATAAAAACTTAATAAAAATAAATAAACAAGTGAGACTTTTCTCAAAGAAAGATGACAAAATAGAAATAACTAAATATGTATATTAAAAAAGAAACTAGAATGGCTATTGCCAAAAGACAAGAAAACTAAAGGCCCTTGAAACTAGACTAGAAACAAGAAAGGAATTGACAAGAGTGAAGAAGGATTCACTCTTGCCTCTATATATACTATCTACTTAGAAGCTATGTGGCGGTGTTCTATAGGACCTTCAAAAAACGTGTTGATATTATACAACACGTATCTTAACTTGCAAGGCAAGTTTTCTATGTGGATGCCACATAGTTAGCTTAATTTGCAAGCTACCAATATGTGTGGCATGTGGTTAACTTGTTGACCAATTTTCTAACCTACTAATCAAGTATAAATATATGTAAAGTCAGAGCAACATCTATAAAGCTTCTAGGAAGCTTTTCTATAAGATATTATGAAATTAATATACTTTTACATACTTCTACCTATTCATATCACTTAGATAATAATTACAATAAATATATGTCCATAACACTTGATTGGCAATATCTCTCCAACTGAAATATATTTCTTATTAGATTTATGTTTTCTTTATAGGATATTTGGTTATAATTTCTAAGTAAAACTTAAAAATTTATTTTTTGTCTTATATTGATTTAATAATCTACTATTAATTTATCTAAAAATAAATTATTCAAGTTGAAGAAATATAATTAAAATAATTAAAAATGATTGACATATTGACTAAAGTACAAATTATTATAATAATAATTGAAAGATCTTACTATAATATGGTTATATCAATGCTATTACATCAAATTCTATTAAAACTTTAAAATTTAGCATTCATAGCCAAGAATAGTATTGAGATGTATAACATATTAAAAAGTCTCAATGTTGTATTAATTTTGCATATGCCTAAACTTTCTTTAACATAGCAATCCACTTAGCATTTTTATCCAATGTGGCATCTTATTCATGTGGAATTATAATATAATATTAGAAATTAAAATTAAAATTCTAGATTATACATTATAAAATTGAAGTTTTATGATCTAAGTTGTATAATTAAAAAAATAAGATTTAAATTGTAGTTTTATAATTTTTTAGAGGATTATTTGTTTAAAATAAAAATAAATGAGTATAAGATTTAGAACTGAAGGCTTAGAGTTTAGGATATAGGATTTAGGTTTATGACATAAAATTTACATAGGATGTATAACTCTAAAATCTAAGATTTACATAGATTATAAAAAATTCAAAAAATTATCATTGAAGTGTGTAAAAAGAAAGTAGATTTAAAAATTTATAAAAATAAATTAAATTAGATGTAAATTATGACACTAAAGAATTGAAGACATTAAGTAGTGATAGATTGATTAATGGATAATTAATACTTATATAATGTATTAGTTAGTAAGTAATTAATACTTGAATAATAAATTGATTATATACATATAAAATATCTCCAAAATGGTACATAAATGCTTTAGTTGATTTTGACATGAAATAGAGTACTATTTGGTAACAACATCAATAATAATGTCATATGGCAGCTACATCAATAATGGTGCCATGTAGCACTTAAAAAACCAATTTAGTATTTTTTTTATTTTTTATTTTTTTACTTTATTTTAATTATTTAATTTACTTATTTTATTGATTTATCAATATATATATGTATATATTTTTTTCATCCTAGATAAAAGACCAAGTAGCTAAAAAAGAATTGACATACTTAACTAATTGATTATTTAATTTTTTTAATCTTGGTAATTTTTTTTTTTTTTTTTTTTTTTTTTTTTTACTTAGGTCTGAGAGTAGGTGGATAATAAGGAGTTGAGACAAAAAAGAGTTGGCACTTACACAAATGAGCGGGATAAGTGTTTAGAGCTTGCATCAAGACAAAGAAACTGGTCGTGTTAAGAAGTTAGGGAGGAGGTTCAAAACTTTCTTTAAGACCAAGACTTGCATCAGAACTAGAAAGAGAAGAAGAAAGTCTAAGACTTATATCTAGATAGGAACTTATTCCAAGACTAAGAGTTAGGACAAGACTAAGAATTTAAGGTAGAAGTCTAATACATGTGCAAAGTCTATGTGTCTCAAAGGAACTAGAAATAGAAAAAAAGATGTCTTTGACTTAAGTCAAGCCTAAGAGTTGTAGTAGAATTAAGAAGTTGAAGAAGTATTTACAAATAAAGAACTTGCATAATATTTTAAAGTCACCACAAAACTTGTAGATACGAAAAATTAGAGAAATAAAGTTATTTCAAAATCAAAAAATAAAATATTTTTTTATAAAATATAAATATTCTATAATAAATATTAAATTATAAATATTGAATTTTTAACTTAAATTTTGAATTTGGAATGTATGATATCTATTTAAAATATTTAACTAGATTTTTTAAATTAAAATTTATTTTATTTATAGAAGCATTTAAATAAAAATCTTAAAATATCTTTACTATAACAAGTTTGGTAGAAAATTTTCAATATAACAAAGATTTATACTAATATGATGGAACTTGAAACTTCACTAAATACTTTAATCTTCTATTAGATGACTTGGATCACCTTCTTCTTGACCATTAGGAATGATCCAAACACCCAGTTTATCAAGAAGAACTCCACTTGCTCCAAAAAATCCAATTACTTCTCCACTACTACTTTTGAATTGTTTACCAATAGTCTCATCACCGAAAGGTCCAAAAATTTGGAAATTAGTATGTATAGTAAGTGAGACTACACTAATAAGGCCAACCATGTGGTCTCCTACTCTTACTTCATGTGGGGCTATTGATCCTCTGATTTGTTTGATGTATTCACCAGGTTCAAAGTCAATCTAGAGTTACACAAATAAAATCCATAAAATTCATTAATAATGACTCTTTTTAAAAAAATCTATATAAAAATCAAACAAATAATAATGAATAAATTAAAATAATATATTAATTATATAGCTATATATTATACATTTAAGATAAACATTTTTATTTTCATTTTTGAATTAAAAAAATAATATAAAGATCAATTACCTTGCGGTAGGTGGTTCCAATGATTCCATTAGAATGTCTTTCTATGTGCTCTTGTCCATCAGGTTCAATATATCCCACTTCAAATAATCCAATTCCAGGTGGAGATTGTTGATATTTCAAATTGATCCATTTAATAAAAGAACCCACATGATTAAATAATCCAGTTGTTTTTTTAGGTTCGTCACGTCCCCATGGTCCTTGCTTGATGCCCTACATAAATGCAATCACATGAAAACAATTCTCACTTTCTTAGTAAATAGCACCAAGATCACTATTCTAGTGCATTTCAATGCTATTTGTTTGTTTGTTTTTTAAAGTACAAACCTACCTCGTTCTTTGGGTACATTCTTTGGAAGACATTAAATGTACTAACACGAATACAAACTAAAATTCCGATCAATCTGGTCTCACGTAATACGATCACAAGCAGGCAAGCTCTTTCATGTTTGCGGAACAATGTGAAGCAACATATTCATTTGTTTAACCATGGCTGAATGTTGAACTGTTGGTTGGATTCACCCTGCTTCTATGAGAGTGTGCGTATATACATATACATATATACACATGTATATAAATTGAAAGGTTGGTTTGAATTCCACATCAAAGAACATACTGCTACTCAAAACTAACACAAGTTCTGCATACCTGTGCCCTCTTGGCCTTGAATTTGAGTTCATTTAAAATGTCATCATGTACAACCTTGAGCATTTTGTGATCACCTAAAAGACACAATGCCGATAAGTTTTAGCATAATTAGGATCAAGAAGTCCGAGGTGAGGTGGTTGAAATCCGGTGTCGAGTATGTTGACAGTTCAAAAGAAATCTACTGATTTGAAGATAGCGATGCTATTGACCAACTCACCTTGCAGGAGCAGCCCTTTGATGAACCTCAGCTCTTCACAAATTTCAGCAAAATTTGGCCGGATATGAAAATTTCCAGTCCAACATCTTTGAATCAAACATTGCAACCGTGGAGGATATGCTTCCTTTGAAAGATCTGGTCTCGACTTTAGATTATCGTTCGCCTTCACTTTCTTCTTCAATTCCATATGGCCCATATCTCCAAAAGCTTTCTCCCCAGTTAGAATCTCAGCGCACATAATACCAAAGCTGTAAGCATCAGCTTTCATAGGATTAAGCTTAGCTCTTTTTTCCGTGTTGTCTTTTTCTTTAAAGACCTCTGGTGCCATATACCTTGAAGTACCAGTGTTCCAAGTTTGGTCTGTATATGTCTTACTGGCTTTTTTGGTTTTTGTCAGACCAAAATCAGTAATCTTCACTGAACAAGCTCTCAACAGTTTGCTCAGGGGATCAATTTCAACATTCACAAGAACATTCCCAGGCTTGAGATCACGATGCGCCATATGCATGCTGTGAATGTACCTTACGCCTTCCGCAATTTTGAGCATCAGTACAACTGCTTCAACATGTGAAAGTTTACTGCCGCTATCTTTCCTCTCCTGCAAAAAATCAGATAGATCCATGTCCATCTTTTCCATGATGAGGAAGCACTTGTCCTCTTTTTTAGAATAGAACAAGAGGCGCACAATATGAGGGTGATGCCCCAGCTTCTGTATCGCTGCCATTTCCTGATCAAAGGATGTTGTACTCTCCTGCTCGAAAATCTTGATTGCGAAGGTGCCTCCCAAAAGATTTATTTTTCGAACCTCTCCGCCTGTACCTTTACCAAGTGATTCGCCACGAAGGCGATGTAGTAGATTTCGTGGACTCATGAATAACAAATTGGAGGACGATGTAACCAAGTTCATCCCATTTGAATTCATTGTTGATTGCTCCTCGCCTTGATCTATCATAACTTTCATCTTTTCGAGCAATTGATTTGCAAGTTCTCTTTCTGTCGAGTCGTGCAGCTTCTTAGACATGAAAATGAGACTGTTCTTGACGATCACCTCATTTTCCTTCTTCGCTGTCTCCAGAGTTTCTTCGTCTTCCTTACTCAACTCAGCGTTGTACAACAGTGGTTCAATTCTGACCTTGGAATTTCCGCAGATGTTTTGAAGAACATCCATGTGCCATTTGAGGTCGTATAGAAGTTCTGAAAAGGTCTCTTTCATATCACCTTGCTCAATTGCTGCTATTAGCCATCGTGAACTGGCGATGCGGCCGGACAAAATGACCCTTTTGGCGTCGAGAAGAGTTCGGAGGAGCTCTTGCAGCACTGGAATTGTTTTCCCATCAACATCGAGTGATATTGATTGCTGAACTTTTTCCAAAGTAACTCGTGTCTCTGAAAGTCTATGGATGAGCAGGTCATATAGGTGCATGTTCATGAGATAATTTCTGCTTGATCTTTTAACTGACTTGGCTATCGTTCCCTTGCAGCGGTTTAGCAGATCAATTGCACCTTGCTCGGAAATATCGGGTTTCCACCAGCTAAACAACCAAAGGATGCATAGGTAAGCGATAAAGAGTGCAATTAATGTTGCAACAATACGCTGCAGGAAGAGGGCGAAACTTTCCATCTTAGAATGGCAGAACTTTGGATGATATGAATTAGGGGGGAGGGGGGGGGGGGGGGTGATTGTTTGTGACCTCAGAAACCTTCGTGCACAAAAATTGAGTACACCTCTTTTAATGACGTGGTTCTCTGAAAGAATTAGATTCATAAAAGTGACTTTCAGCTCTGCTGTAATATCCAGATCAAGCTGCAAGCCACAGTTCAGATGCGATAGATGAGTACCCTACAAAGCTGCTAGTGATCTGACCGTTGACTCGGCCGATGCTTTCATATTCTTTCAATTCAGTAACTTATTTCTATGAAAGAATGAGGCAACCTGAATCAGTTAAAGAGCCTTTGCAAATGACTCTTAAGAACGTCGGTATGTACACAACAGAACAAGTTTTGATCACAAAAGGTGTGTCATCGCTATCCAACGACGAACAGTTTCAAAGAAACCTGATGATTGCCTCGAATTTTATAGATTCTATAGACCAAAACCTTCGCAATAAGATGACTTAGAAGCACAAGTTGTCACAAAAACAAATCAAATATCACAATATGCAAACATGAAGTGTAACAGTCGCTGCTAACCTTAAATTAAGCTGGCAAATGGTTATAGTCTTACCCTCAAAGGGTTCAGAGCGAGCCAAATGACTCAGCCTTCGAAGAGGAGTGTCAAGTAACTAGTTACCTTTCCTTACGCTTGGGACCTAATCGACGAATAAGAATTGATAAAAACAAAACCAGCGCAACCCGGCAGTTTGTAGAGACAACGACAAACACCAAACACTACGTCCGGCAGACTAATTAAAGTTCCACCATTTTGCCGTATGGACGTGCCAACTCAAGTCCTTGCAATCTGACTCTCCGACAAGAAGAAAGAGCGCCGAGCCTGTGCCGATAATCCAATGCGTGATCTGACTATCAGTCAGCAACCATTTACCCAGCGGTCATTTCGTTCACCAGACTTACAATATCTCCTGCAGCCGAGCTGCGAGGATGAAGCGAGAGTGCGCAGCGGCCAAGTCACATCTCAGGGCAAGTATACATTTTGATGGAGCATATCACACCGCCAAAGATGCTTCTGTAAACTTAGTGCAGCACTGGCTGGTGTGCTTAAGGCGGATCGCAAGGTAACACATGACTCGCCTGCGCACAGTAATTTTAAAAGCAGCGCTGCAAAAATGAAAAAGCTCTAGCCAGAGGGAGGTGAAGGTGCCCTTTTGGCCACAACTAGCAGCATCGTATTCACTTCATGACAAGCCTCATCCTGCGAGAAACGCCTGCAAGGAAGACGCGGAATATTATTTTAGGGTTGACCAGGAAACAAGAAGTGAATTATGAATGTCTGTACAAAGTCTGCACAATGTCTGTACTGTTATGTGGTGCATAATACAATGTCTGTGTTTTTAGGTGGTTCAAAATGTTTTTCTTACATTGTTGAATAATTATAATGACTATTGATTAGTGTGGTCCTCTGGAATATGCAGTAGGACCATCTCAAAAGGAAGTTTTTTATAAAAATTTAAGATTTGTGTCAAAAAAATGTTCAAAGTAATTATCACAAATAAAAAAAAATCAATTTCTTTGTTTGTCATGATTGTTAGAATCAAGATATGAATTGACAAGTATAGACTCATACCAAAAAAAAAATGTCTCATTTTATGACTTCTTTAATACCATTTTTAAGTGGTAAAATTTCTAAAAAGGAATTTTTCTTCATCAAGCAAGAAACCTTTTAGGACTTTGTATGACTTTCTAAAAGGGATTTCGAGGTGCAAAATCCCCCAGCACTTAGGATCTATATATATATATATATATATATGGTCCAATGTCCTGGTACCACAATTTGAGAATCCAACAGTTTTGATACATTTTGCCTTTCAATGATTTAACAATGTAGGTTTTTTTCTTTGAAAAACAACCGTAAAAGAGATAGGGAATATAACTTACTCAGTTTGCATGCTAAGGGGAGGCTGGGGGGAGCTCTGAGAGTGGGGGCAATTACCACTTGGATACAAACACAGTGGTACAGTTGTGGCTGATATACAGGGAATCAGACTATAGTTGGTGTACTGTGATATTGTACTAATCAGATGTGCAAGAGAGTTATTGGAAAAATCATGACAGTGTTGGTGGTATTGGCGCAGGGCCAGAGGTGGCAGAACAGGTCGTTATGTATCACTGTTGCAAAGTACTACATATCACAATTAATATGTAGAGCCCCTCCATTGGCAAGACTTGGCTAAACTAGCCAGTTTCCAATAAAATCCATCTGAGTAGGAGTCTCACTAATTTAATGTTAAAGTGATGTCAAGTTGGTGAGTGTTGCGGAATGTATGGAGGTTAATTTTAAAAATATACCAATCCAATACTTAGTGTTTTAGAATTGCAGCAATATCAAAACAATGTCAAAATCATCATTTTTATGTCAACTATACATATGCAATTTTGATATTCAATTGAAACAAAAAATATGGTGGTTATATTGACATTGAATGTTTGTTGAATTTAGCTAAAATAAACTCAATCAGCTAATCATTTCAATATGATGCAAACTTTTTATATAAAAATTATAATTCAAATTATATTATGTTATGGTCAATTTAGACAGTAATAAATTAATTAAATGTGTAACTTTATTATTAATTCATTATTTGGTTATATTATTTTATTTATTTATGTGTAGTGATGTATTCAAAATTTTCACATGATTATAAGTTTGATGAGTGAAAATACACTTCTTATTTTTATTCAAAGAATTAGAAGAAGAAAAAAATATATAATTATATCAATTGGATCATTAAAAGCAACTTATATTGAATTCAAAGATAATTTTATAATTTGGATCATTTGATTTCAAAATATTCTATATCATAATGACCAAATATCATATATTTTATCCAATTTAATCTATATTATTATCCAAAAACAATGTGAGTTGTCTTAAAGTTTCCTTCTAAGTTAAATAACTATTTTTATTTAAATTTTTTCTTTGTAAGAAGTATTTTAGTAAATATTATATTGGTAATTTAAAAAAGATGATACTGATGAAGTCTTAGGCACAATTTTTGTTTAATGGCTGAATGATTTGTAAAAGTTTATAATCCACAATACATTTTATAATTTCTTCTGTTATTTGATGTAAAAATTATGATAGTTTGTGCTAAGATTTTTTTATTACTATTATTTAAATATTATGTTCGATTATAACCATGTGTGTTAGTTTTTTTTATTATTATTATACTTAAATATATTAAAAATATTGATGCATTGCAAATCATGTTGGTTGCACCAAATTTTAATAGTAATTTTGTCACAATTTTTTTTTTTTCATATAGAAAATAAAATAAAAAAAAGAGAGAATTCTAAGTTCCAAATCTTAGATTTTTTTGTTAATATTCACATACATAAACTTAATCCAACTATCCAAAAAGAAGATATTTATACAATCATTAAAGAATTTGTTGTCACTTTATGTGTTCAATAATCCTTCCATAAGTTCATTTATCAAAATTATGTAATAATAATTTTTAGTTTATTATTTTTTTATTTTATATATTATAATTTAATAATAAAAAATATAATAAAGTAAACCATTAATATTACATATTACATGATAATATTGTAATATTATCCTTCCTTCTAGATATGAATTCCATGAAGAGCATCTATCATCTTTTATAGATCTTGCAATTCTTCATCTTAGTTTTTATGGATTTTGTCAATAAAAAGCCTCACCTTTTTTTTATTGCATTTACAAGATTTTTTGTTGATTTCCATGTGTGTTTACTAATATTATATCCATTTTTATGATATACCATAGCTAATAAATGAAAGAAAGAAGAACAAATTATATTTTAGTAAATCATATTTAAAAATATTAAAGAAAATTATCTTAGATAAAGATAATAAAACTAAAGGGTACTATTATTTTTTTTTACAAAATAGGCTTCTACTTACTTTGTAGGGCCATAAGTAAAGCAAAACAAAGTAGATTAGAAAATAAAATGATATAAGCATATGTAAGAAGAAGTTAAGAATATATTTCAGCAAAATTTATCTCAAGAAGCCAAGAATTGATATCCAAAGAAGATGAGTTGTCAATCTGGATTAAAATCAGATCCTAAGGCACAAAACTATACATCTATAGTAATTGTGTGGTTCTTTTGAAAATTTGAAAAAGAAATTAGAGAATAGACTTGATAAGATTTTTATAAGCATTAGCTTTTTATGATTTGGATTTGTAATGATTTTGTAAGAGCTTTATAAAGTCAAGGTTAATTTAGATTTTTTGTGAAAAAAAATAAGATTGATATTTTAGACAATTTTGGAAGTATTGTAGTAGATCTACGTATGCAATTCTATAAGTTGGCAAATATAGTTGTGCTTGATGTATATTGTGTCAAGGACATGAATTGAAAGATGGTGCATAAATCAAAAGAAAAAGTGACAAAATAGAAATAAGGAAGTATGTGTATTAAAAAGAAACTGGAATCGCTTATTGCCAAAAGATAAAAAAAAACTTGAGACTCTTGAAACAAGACTAGAAGCAAGAAAAGAGTTGATATGAATAAAGAGGGCTTCAATCTTGTCTCTATATATTCTATCTAGCTAGAGGCTACGTGGCAATGTTCTACAAGACCTCCAATATGTGTTGACTTTGTAGGACACATGCCTTGAATTACAAGATAAGTTTTTCTATATGTTTGCTACATAATTAGCTTGTTCTTTAAGCTATCAATATGTGTGGCACATGGTTAACTTGTTGACTAAGTTTCTAACCTAAAAATCAACAATGGACACCTATAAAGTCAAAGCAGTGTCTATGAAGCTTCTAAAAAGTTTTTTTAGAGGATATTATAGAATTAACTTACTTTTACATACTTCTATCTACTTCCATCTATTTATATAGATAATTACTAGCTTATATGTATATATCTATAACATTAATCCTCCTTCTAGGTACAAGTTCCACAAAGAGTGATTATCATATGTTAAAAAAATCTATGATGCGATGAATTGTATTTGCTATATACTTAGATCTTTGTTCTCTTTGAAGATGGTTGATAGGGCCTCTCAACCATCGATAGTGTCCTATACCAAGGCAGGAAGACCACTTTGTTATATGATCATTGTTGAGGCTTTCATAACTTCTTTCAAATAAATCATTTGGAATACCATCAGGAGTTGTTCCTACCTCTAATAAAATTACCAAATATCGAGAGTCTCTTCCAAGGTCGTGATACCAAATGCGTTGTATCTCACTATATTCAAGGAAAAACATGTCGTTCTTAAGGATCTTCACCTCTATTATCTTGTCTTGAAGGTTCTAATAATTACAATGCTTCGTTTAACAAGTCAGCAAACAAAGGCTCTTTAGTCAAATCCATTGGATGTTGGTTTTCCATCTCTTTAGAATCACAAATACAAAGAAGCTACAAACAAGGATTAAAAGTAGAATGTTATCTTGCCTAGATCTTGTTTCTTTTATAAGAAAGGTCTTCATCTTGATTTTGATGGATGTCATTGATGAAAAGCCTCCACCTTCTTTGCTACATTTATAAGATTCTTTACTAGCTTCCATGTACATTTACTAATATTATATTTGTACCAATGAATAAGATATTTTAACTTATTTTGGTATTGCGTTGAGTCTAAGACTTCTTCCATTTCAAATTCTTCATTATTATCTACTTCTCTAGAAAGAAGTGGTACTTATCTTCTTTTTGGTATGTCTATTGTCTTATATGGTTCAAAAAGAGATATGTGGAATATTGGATGGATTTTTATTGACTCTAGTAGGTATAAATGATATGTAATTAGATTGATTTGTACAAAAATAGGAAATGATCCAAGCCTATCATAGTCCAACTTATCACAAAGACAAGTAGTCTTAATATTACAAAGAAGTAACCATATCTTATCATCCACGTGGAGTTGTAGTTGTTCTTTTTGTTAGACATCTGCATTGATCTTTTATTGTTCTTGAGCTTCTTTTAACTGCACCTTTATTATTGTATGTAGCTTTGACAAATGATTTGTTAAATCTTATGTCATAGAATTATCAACTTTTGAAAAATCAAAAGTATCAAGTTGTGGATGATAACCATAATTGGCAAAAAAAGATATTTATTTTGTAAAAGAATGTATTATGTTATATAAGCAAACTTTGTTAATGGCAAAAGAGTTGTCCAATCATCTTGTTGGTAGTTGATGGTGCACCTAAAATACTGCTCTAAAACTTGATTAATACG